AACTTCGTTAAACCTGAGTTTTTGTTCTCTCATAACAATAAAAAGAAACGCTTTCTTCGAACAGCGCTCACGTCTGTGCGATTTCTGTTCCTGCATGATCTTGTTGCCACTCGATTACAATGGAAAAAGAATACTGCATGTCTGCGATTTCTTTTCGCTTGCTGTATGGAGGTAAGTTTAATTTAGGGAAGTCCTTATTCTTGCTTCTAATTTATAGAGCTATATATTGTTTTTTAATGTTTCCATGACATTTCTACAACAAGTTTAGTTACCTGTAAACGTTTTTCTTCGCCTGATACATATTTTTTCGTTGTAGATGTTTGCCCTTTGATAAAAAATATTTTGTCTGAGGCGACGTATGATTTCCAGAATCATTGTGCCACGAAGTGTTTGCAATATCCATTCTGTGCTGGATACAATTTTAAGAAAAAGCACCAGAAGAAGACTCCAAACTGCCAGTGAACTCAGACACTGGATCACAACTTTCATGATTGCAACGCTAATGACAAAGGCTGGACATTTTATCATCCCGTTGCCCCAAGAAATGTACGAAACTGCAGTAAAATAATTATACACTTGATAAACTTTGCCAGAATTAGCTTATTTGTGCCCAAGCAGCAAATGAAAAGAATGCCTGAGAAATTTGTGATCTTCACAAATTTTCTAATCAACTATACTGTGCCTTGTTGTTGTTGTGTAGGGTAAACACCAAACGTAAATGCAATGTATCCGATCGGGCAATAAGTGAAAATCGTTGCCCGCCCGAACTGGCTATATATACGCATACAATATTTCGGCACAACTCGCAAGTTTATAAACTACGATTTTTCAAGCTTGTGTTAAAATAAAGAATGTAAAAGAAAAGAAATATACACAACAGGCAACAGGATCGAATATTGTTGGTTTTTCTTTCGTGGCAATATAAACTGAAAAGCATGCACCAAGCGAGTACAACATAGGCGCATTGTGTGCTTGATTCACACAGTTTTAGGCAAGAGTTAATTGGTAGTGTATAAAATCAGCCCATATAGAATGGTTTCGAGTCCAATTTGAACTCGTCCTTTGGACTCGATTATATTTCTGAGAAAATTGTATACTTTTGATACACTATTGCAGCGTTCTATTATTTTACCCCATAGTTTCGAAAATATTTTTAATGAAAAAAGTTAGCTATATGTTAATTAAGGACATCCACTGCGGTATATATTATGATTTAAAACTCATTCTCATTCAATTAAAAATACCGGACCAGTTATTATAGTTAACTTGTGATGTTATCCTGTTCATACACCCTTTCGATAATTACGTCACAACTAGACTGTTTTCAACTTAGGACCATCTTAAATGGAAAGGATTTCAAGTTTTAATTTTTTCTCACGGGCTATGTACCAGATGATCTTGATACGCGGAAAAGTACTGGCACTAGTTGTCAAATAGAAATCCATTTTGTGATTAAAACAACTGAATATCTCCTGTGATATACTTTATTTCGATTCCATATTTTTGTCAGAGCCAGAGGAGGTCGGACAAGCAATTAGCGAGTTGTCACGTGAGCTCTCGACCAATGAGATCGCTCTATTTTCCGTCGTGTTTTCTGCAGAATTTGGGCAGAAAAATTTGTATTCGACGGAAAATAAATCGAGAAAAAACATTAATATTAAAATTTTCTTGCAAAATTTCAAGTGTAATAGTACTACTGCTAAAGATCTGGTGATATCTGCAAGAATCTCTAAGGTAAACGTTATTTTCAATGTTATTTTGATGTTTGAAGTTAGACGACTCCCCGCAACGTGTTGACTCAAGTCTAAATATGTTTACAATGTTTAAAATGAAATATCTAGAATTCCCATGGTTCGATTTTCCTCAATTTTGGCAGCCATCAAGAAAAATATATAAGCTTTAAATCTGCTGGAATGATCCCGGTGATCCCCCGGCAGTTTTCGAGATATTGGCCATTGAAGCGACTATTGTCAACTCGACGCTCGCTAAAATGGCGTCTAATACCTTGGAAAGAATTTATTATTATATTTTCAATGAATTTTTGTTAAAGTGTTAAAATATTATTTAGAAGACTTAGGAGTTGTTTCAATATTTTTGTAGAATTTATATCTGTGCGATTTTCAAAGTTTTTTCTGTCTTTGGCCGACGCGACTGGATCGTGTGCACATTCCCATACGAGCTGATCGCCTGATCCTGGGGTTTTTGTTGCAAATCGAGCTACGGAATCCTCATCATGGACAACTCAGTGTTATAACAGCCCATTTCAAACCAGCAGAGAGCTCCACGTGTTTTAAAACAATAAAACAAGTTTTTATTGTATTTTTATTGTATTGTGGTCAATTTATTGAAATTTAATAAATATTATGCACGAGTCAATTCCAGGAGTAACCATCACCCCCCCCCCTCCCCCCGGGAACACACCTGGGCATTCGCTTTGACTGGTTACGATAGTGCACAGTTAATAGAAGAAGTGTGCCGGGACACAACTAGGAGTAGGAGACTAATGCACGGCCCTTGGACAAGCTGAGAGTGAAAAATGCCCCACCCTGGGGACGATGAATGCATATCATAGGCATAGTCATTTAATAACATTATACTATTAAGCTGCTATGGAATATTATAAAACTTTATTCGCATGGCACAGGTAATAAGTTTTGCAAAAGTGAAACGATTTGTAAAATCCCCGGGCCCAATACCCGGCCCCTGTACACGTACCCGGCCCCTGTGCACGTATATATGACAGGTAAATTTCCAACCCCTGTGAACTGTCTATTAGGCAAATTCCCAGGGGTGTCCTGGGGGAATGGTTACTCCAAGAATTGACCTGTGCAATTATATAAATAGACATCTTCTTGTTTTATTGTTGCATTAATTTTAATTTGAAAAAATTACAAACAAAGTAGGTCAAGTGCATGGATAAATTACTCATTTATTTACTAAAGCACATTTTTACAGTGATGTACTTATTTTGCACGAGTGTACATGACAGATTGTTTTAATTAGATATAGAAAGTTATCATTTATAACCCATGGTTTGTTTAAAAAATGCTGGAAAAAATCTAAAAAGTTAGCCAATTGAAATAAATGCACTTCAATAACTTGCTAAACATAGTTAGTTGCTATTATTTATATAAAAAACATCTGTCAACATACACTCATGCTTTTCCTACCACTTAAGTCTCCCATGCACTAACCATGTCTCTGCAAAATGTTTTGGATAAAATCCTATTTTAAAAAAGTCAATCCTATACTTGATATGCTGAACATATTAGACATCCACGACATCTCTTGCAGCAATTAATGGGTGCGGATACTTGCATAGTTTAGAAGAAGCAATATATAACCAACATCAGGGGCCATCCAGTTCCATAGTCTAGATCAATTGCTATTGCACTTGGGTCCCTTGGATTCAATGGCTCTGGCCGTATTCTTACATTCACTGGTTTATCTTGTTCATGAAGAGTGAGGTATGCCTTTTCCCACAGATGCAGATGGTTGATTTCTTCCTCCTCATCACTTAACTTGTCATCACTTTCTACCCTATCACCTCTTTCATTATCATATCCATCCTGAACAGGCTCATGACCAGCCAACAACTCAAGTAAATCTCTTTCTACAAAATCATAACAAGAAAATTATTATTTCATGCACCGTCATCTCTAAAATTAGCAATCTTACACAAAAGCACATGTAACCTCTAAATTCTTAATATACCGAACTGTGTTAGGTCTGTGTAATAGAAGGTTAGCACTTTTTCCCATCCAGCAAACCGCCCTATCGATTTTCGAAAGTCGTTTTTTTTTATTAATTCGGTTAGGGTTAGAGTTAGAGTTGCAGTTAGGGGTTAAAGTAGGGGTAGGGTTTGGGTTAGTTACATAGCCATTTAACACCTCTTCTATCTTCCGAAAATGACGTCAGGTCAGTTTGCTGGATGGAAAATAGTGCTAACCATAATAGAACAACACACAAACAATATTTAGATGAAAATTGAAAAATATTAAACTACAGTTTGCACATTTAAACAACCATCCACAACTAGATACAAACAGGCATCATACTCAGCAAAAATTTATAAAATACATACAAATAACAATACCTTCAGACTCATCTGAAAACCAATGTCCATCATCAAATGTATCCGATGTCAACTGATATGATCCACATCGAAATCCAAAAGCATATGCTGGATGTTTTCATTAGCAAACTCATCAGGAATAGGGTCAAACTAAAGGGTTGAATTTAATATTTGAAATATTACGCCATAATTTGTACAGTGTATTTATAAAATTTATACAGTACAATATTGAAAACAGCAAAGCGGAAATTTGAAACAAGTCAACTGTATTGCATTGTAGGGTACCAACCTTAAATACTGCGCTTGTTTTCACGATGATGATACACGGAGATTCCATCCAACTTAAAAAGAACAGCCTTGCTATTGGAAATAACACAATTCCTTCGCGGATTATTTATAAAGCTATAAAAAGACAGCACGTCCCACGCAATTTAATATAAGGTAAACTTGGTATAGTAACTCACACGTGATAATGAGGATCGCAACAATACAGCAATAACATGCTATTTTCACGAAGTATTGCAGCCTGACAATCTTGTCTTTCGAATGCTTTCATATTTGTTTACTCCACGACAGCCAAAGAGTCATTGAAGCCACGCCTGGAATTAGGCGCTCAAACCCATGATGCTTTGCGGCCTGCTTGTCCGACCTCCTCTGGTCAGAGCTATAGTTCTCATAACCAAACATAATTACAAAATTTCAACTAGTTTCATAAAGAATAACGAAAGATATAATTGACTGAATACATCAAAATGGATTTCTATTCGGACAACCCTTTCTGAGCGCTGATTGGCTAAAATATGAACACGAGATCACCTGGTATAGAGAAGCAGAACATCCTCCTTCAACACATGCGCGAAAAAAATTTTGGATTTTGATCAATAAATATGGAAATAAGCATTAACACGAAAAAGAGGCTTCAGGTCATGACCTGGAGCCTCGTTTTCGTGTTAAAGCTTATTTCCACATTTATTGGTCAAAATAAAGAATTATTTTTGATGCATGTGTTGAAGAAGGATGTTCTGCATCTCTGTGCATAGCCCATGAGAAAAAAACCCTTGAAATCCTTTCCATTTAAGGTGGTCCTAAGTTGAAAACAGTGTAGTTGTGACGAAATTATCGAAAGGGTGTGTTAAATTTGCCTGCAGGCTGAGTTTCTTTACGGTGAGCTGAATCCAACACATTCGCTTCCCAGGTTCCATGTCATAAAATGAAGAATTGAAAAATGGGGACAGGCGAAATTCAGCTTTTGTTGCAAGTGCAGCAATTTTTGTAGCCTGTATTTCTTCGCCTTAAGTAATTTATTATTTTGCTGCCGATAAAGGTACGAATTTGGTACGACAAATCCCTTTGGGAAAAACACATGCACGTGTGAGATTTTTGAGTCCGAAGGATGGCAACTCACGAGGCTCTTGCAACAATTTTGTTTTTTTAGAGCTCATTCTGGGACTAATTAATTTTTAACTTGATATTCATATCAGATCGTATCAACATTTTTATTGCCCTCTAGACAAAAAAAGGTGTTGGTCATTAGAATTTCATCATGTTTCTTATTTTCATTTAGCCTCGACTGACTCCGCCATATCTGGAGAACCAGCTGCTTTCTTACAAGATTAACTTCATGGACAGGAAGCACTAATTGGAAGCTGTGTTGGCGTGCAACTATGCATGGATGGGCAAGCAGTACCTTCCACTGACTACAAGAAACCAATCGTGACCATAATAAAAGTTGGTAACTTCACTGTTCCGTGGTTATTCTACGGAATCTTGGGAAGGTGAGGCTACAATAGTCCCCAAGCCAACGGCGCGGAGCGCAGTTCCGGGCGTAAGCCCGGGGCGAGGGTATTAATTGCGCCCGGCTATTTACACCCTGGGAAACGAAAGCATTAGCGAAGTCTAAAGTTTGTCAATGATCGCGGGCGTGGGTTACCGTGCGTTGTTCGGTGGGTGGTCATCTCACTGATCTCAAAATATGGCTGTTTGCCAGGAGTGAAGAAGGCAAAAAATATAAAAAATACATGTAAGAAAGCTTGGAAAAACGTTTCACATAAGAAGTCGTAAAACGTTTTTACAATTTTTAGACGTAAACATTTATAAGAATTGATTTAGAATGAGAAATCCTAAAGTATAGGATGTTTGTATTAATATAGACTTTGTTCCTGATGTTCAAGTCTTTCCTATGCATTGTTTGCGAACGTTTCTTAGTTAAATTAACTTTTGCAAAAGTTCATGATAAAAAGGAAAGCAAATTATTTTCATTAGCGTCCTGTACTAATTAAATTTATTTCATTTCAAAGCGGGAGTAATAAGTTGAAGCTCGAGCTGAAGAGTTTATAAATATCGGCAAAAAGCAGTTAATTTCAATTCACATTTAAAAACGTTTACGTAGAGTTTCGTTTTGAATTTTTCATTAAAATAAAGCCCATAGAAACAAAAATAATATACCTACTTTGTATATTTTAGAAATTGATAGTTCTCTATTTAAAAATGTTCAAATTTCAACTATTTTTTGCAGGTTTGTACAAAAAAATTAAAAAAAACAATTATCGTGTTGCCATGACTAACATGACGTAGCAACGCGAGTCTGCGTTCAGGCTAAAACGTCCTAGCTATTACAGATCAAAAGCAAAAGATCTTCGCACGACAAATTCAGCTTTATGCTTTAAGTACATCTTCTCACTTCTAGGAATTAACAACGGAAATAACCCATTGGGAAAAACGTCAGATGATAATATACTAGAACTGGCTGAAAAATTACAACAGGCTTTTATAAACCCTGGGAAAATCTACCACCCAATAACGAATTAGATATTAATCTGATGGATTAATTACTCGGGAACACTACACCTTCCGTTTCCATCTATTGAACAAGTCAAGAACTGTATAAACATCTAAACCCCAGGAAACACATTTCCTGCCTGGATACTCAAGCGTTTTAGTGATGATCTCGCTCCACAATATTGTTACAAAAAGTATAAAACAATGCAAGTACCCAAGCCAATACAAACATGCGCTGATATCCCCAGTTGCCAAAGTCCGCAACCCAAGCGATGTTGAAAATGACTTTAGACAAATATCCGTTCTCCCATAACTGGCTAAGGTTATTGAAAAACTCCAACTCCAATTAAATAATTATATCGAATCTAAATAAAAAGTATAATCGACATGCTTTCACTCCCGGCCGATCTACTGTCTCTGCATGCTCTAATATTTACGACACAGAATTGGTACAATGCCACGGATAATTCTCAGTCGGGTAAAAAAGGTGCCCATGCCGTATATTTCTAGATTTTAGAAAGACCTTTGATCTGGTGAATCACAACGTCTTATTAGAAAAACTATATAGTCTCTATGAATGTCAGCAAACCGTTTTGGCTATGGATCAGAAGCTTTTTAACCGTAAGAACACAACAACTTAACTTACATGGTACCCTATCATCAATACAACCTTGTCCTCTAGGCGTACCACATGGCTCAGTTATATCGCCCACCTTTTTTAACGTACATTACATATGTATAGGTGATATACCGTGACCGAACTGTTTACGACATATCAACGTTACCGAGGCGCACAGCGCCGAGGTTGATATGCGCATAAACACTGAGGTCTGTGGTATATAACCGGCTTATATCTTCATTTGCTGAAGTTAAAAAATAAAGAAGAATAGCTTTTTTGTGATTGTGATAAACACACGACGTGTTAACGCTTAGGGGCCATTTTAAACAATGTTAAACAATGTTATAAATATAGTGTTGACTATACAGTGTGTAACAAAGAGGAGACATAGCGTATTGTAGTGAAGAATTGTATGGAAAGAACTAGTCACAGACGTCTGGCGTCGCTACACTCCTACCAACATCCAAGTGAAAAGTCCAGAGAAATGGGGTCAGAAATAATTACAGGGAGTAACAAGACTGATGAAGAAGATGTAAAGCCTAGCTTAAAACTGAAAAGGATGCCTTGCAAACAACAGTAAAGTGACGACAGCGAAGATGATAATGTAGATAAAGCTAAGTCATCAAAACGAACCCGTGTTTTTTTGGGTAAGATTTATTGTTTGACGTTGTGCGATTAATTAAATCGATTTATTGTTGTGCATGTTGTTAGAAAAATTTAAGAAATTTGTATAATTTCTTGTTCATAATAATTTGAGGAGTGATATGTATTAATCAACCTCATTTAGAGGTTGCCATTTATTAATCAACCTCATGAATATATTAATGAGGCTCTATAATATAACTCTATAATATGTAAAACACGAGGCGTAGTCAAGTGTTTTAGACTCTAAACCACTTTACTACGCCTCGTGTTTTACGTATTCTCCCAACATTCCCCCTCGTGCATTGCAAGCGACTCGTTTTTTATTTCTTAAATATTGCACGTTTAACTTAACATATTATAGAGTTAAATTATTTATAGATTTATAGAGTAACAATAAATGCAAATGATTTGAATAACAGATGTGCCTCAGTGAGCCATCATTGTGTCATATTTATTTTTTCGTATTTATTTAGCGTTCACGATCACGCTATTTGTCACAACAGTTATACCAGAATTTGCCGACCCCTGCAAGCATGGTTGTTTGGGGGCATACAGGATAAACTTTGGAGTCAATAGTTTCAAAGATGCCCCTGGATGTCCGTTGAAGGCGAAGAAAATTAGTGATAGAAGAAATTTTATGTGCAGATAGAGCGTGTCAATATTTGATGAATGTATTATAATATTTTCATTGCATGTGCACAGATGGCTCGCTTTGAGTCACAAAATATTTAGAGTTTTCACGCAAATTAAAGTAGCGGCACGGGTTGTGGCTGAAAAATTATCAAAATACCACAACAAATGCAATATTTCGTTGCTGCTATGAGCAGTGCATTTTTTAAGGATTCTTCAGTGGTGGGGCAAAACTGCCAAAGGGCTCATTTTCCTTGCCCTCCCCCAGCATAGTATGCGGTCGCCGAAGGTGTGAGCAGAGTACAGCAGGCACGAGTTAGCTAAGGGGATTGAAGCTGGGGGCATGTCCCCCCCCCCCACATAAGGAAATGTTTAAAATTTGGGTCTCTGAAATAGGATTTCCTGCATTCTGAGAACACATTTAAAAAATCTCAGCTTCTGAAAACAAAGTTTTAATGGTGAAATTTGTAATAATTGCATGCTAAACATTCAAACATAACATAAATATGCTCAGCAACAAATTTTGTTTTTTAAACTTCTTTTCAATGTTAAACTCATTTACGCAATACAGATCCTAGGGCCCTGTATGGCTTTGGGGCAATAGGACATTTTTTTTCTTTAGTGGTGGGGCAGAGGAAGGGGCCCAGTGGGGCAAATGCCTTGGCTATGAGACTATATTATAAAACTAACCTAAAATTATACTATTCGCTCTCGTCGTTTATGGCTGATAGCCGACTCGGTGCTATATTTTTATAAGAACTATTTTAATATGTAATTTTCAGTCATTTATTATAAAACTTTAAGGCTTTGTTGAGCGGGATCTCTATCTTACAGACCAATCCTGTAACAGATGACGGCAGCTCAACTTTTATATCGTTCTTCCCCATTGGCTTCAACAACTACAGTCACAAATTACAAAGACATAAGCAACTACAAAAGTATTTGGCGCAGATCAATTTACGTTATGCGTATCTATTTTTTGTGTTTCTAGTCATAAATGTTGCCAATTTAATTAGGACTGGTTAACATTATCAAGGTTTCTGTGATCACAATAGGAATTTTGTACAGATAAATTCTGTTCATTATTTTTTCCTGCTCAATAAATCCTCAGTTGGTGGGTTTATGACAGTAAAGTATTTTAAAAAGAATATGTCCATAAGCTCTTCTATATCTTACATGTCTCATTCCATAGATGAAAGAATTAACAATAGAGTTAATTCCATATAGTTCATATTGGAAAACAACATACCAAATATGCTGACATGACTCGTTACAAATACCAAAATCGACCAATGATCCCACAACTGTTGGTATAAGACAGCAGAACATCAAGACTATTACAACAATAAAAAATGTCTTAGTTGATTTCAAAGCTTGGAAAAATTGATTTCTTGCAGTCATACTGTTGGGTGACTGTTCGGTGGAACAAGCTACCTTTGTCAACATTCGTTTACGTTGTTTACGTGCAACATTTAAGATTTGAAAATTAAGAATGAATATTAGAAGCAGAGGAATGTTACCGATAAAAATATCCGAGAACAAAGAAAATTGGTTGGGTAGGTCGCAGAAGCTTCGTAAGCCAATGTTTGACTTGATATAGTAAACTTCAAATAGGATGAAAAGAGAACAGGAAGTTAACCAAATTCCAGAAACAGCTAGAAAAACTCGTCGTTTGGTCACAATCAGCGGATACTTGAGAGGTTTTACAATATACAAATAACGATCAACAGTAATTGCAAGAAGTGTAGCCACTGAAGCAAACATGAATGACCAGATGCTAGAGCGACTTAACTTACAAAACAAATCCTGATCACTATCAATGTTTAATATAGTCTGTATTAACTCAATGATCCATATTGGATAAAATGTTAAACACACGAGAAGATCTGCCAGTGCCAAGTTTCCTACCAAGTAAGATGTCGCTGTCTTCTCTTTGCCCAAGAAAATTGTATAAATTATAACTGTAATATTTCCCAAAACTCCAATAATCATTGCGATGAATTTAAATACAACTGATGGAAGAAGAATGTAAGTTGGAAGTGACACTGACTCAGTCGAGTTGTTATTTGCCATTTATTTTCCTTGAATGACTTGACCAAAGGCGTCTTTTTTCTCACTGTTAACAAATACAGTACACTATATATTGTAGCGTGGAATAAAACATCCCCAGAGAAAATTTTAAAAGAATGTTAGCATTATTAGTCTTCCAATGATACTTATTGCGTCCATCTTGTACTTCTCATTATTTCCATTTGATAAATTTACTGGATGTACTTCATGCCGCGGTTAACAAATATATATGCATTTAAATTGGATGTTTGACTGTTCAAGCTTTGCATTATTTAACACAACAATATCTAAAATGCAATGAGCAACACTTCCGCCTGAAGACTGATAGCATATTAGCATAATACCCAGCGCGTTATTGGCTGTTATTAACCTGATGTTGATCCAAAACTATTTATGCGCTTCTGCACTTACATACGACTATTTAGAAAAAGAGAACATCTGTGAGACAAGATCTTTATCTGTCAACCACGCTTGATGCTGTTCGTTTGTTCGTTTACGCATTTTGAAGTTTTACTTATATTTTTCAGACGGTTGAATCCCTGTATCAATCTTCTTACTAGAAATACATGCATGCCTATATTTTCCAAACATCGATTTAAATTAAGTGATTAGCCAACATTGAACGCAGGTAGTTACATTACCTTTGTATTTTATAACCTTTCATTTAATGTAAAACTCAAATTGAAACGCTGCATAAACTGTCTTGAAATGTTCAGACTCTTTAATTTAATGAAACAAAATTATAATTGAATAATTTCAGTTCGGTGTTGAACTATATTTGCTCTCCTTTACATTTTAAGTTTTTTTTCCCTTAAACTAAACAGCCATTGTAATTTAGGAGACTTACTACATTGAAAAGCAAAGCATGTCCACGCAAAAAAATTAAAGCGATAAAAATTCATAAACATTAAACATTGACAGCAAACTTGCCCTATGTTTTTTGTCAATTTTCCATTTTATTTTTTCAACGCAAAATTAAAGTTGATTGTATGAAATCATTTTCCAAATATTTGTTTTTTAAAAATTAAAATCTTGTTTATCCCACTATTGGCAAACAGCCATATTTTGAGATGCACGAGGAGGTCCACCCATGACACCCACGAATCATAACCATGCACCAGAAACCATGATTTTCTGGGGATACGGTATGTGGCATTGTCCCATATTTTTAAAATATGTTTGATTTTTTTGTTTGATATTTATGTTTGATATTGTTATCGTGTTGACAGGCAAATAGAGATACATGCCAGACAGACAGACAGACAGACAGACAGATGGACCGACGGACGGACGGACGGACGGACGGACAGACGAATAGACGGACGGACAGCCAGGCAGGCACAGATATACAAACACAGAAACAACGAAACAAACAAAGAAAAAATAAACAAACAAGCACGGGATGTATAATATACGTGTAACATTAGAAATATGCGCGCCGCATTGTATATCTTCATAATATGATAAAACCAGTGCCGTTGTTTTTCTTCAGAGTTGGTTAAACGAGGTAAAATATATTCATTGTTTCTGCTTTTTTACTAAATTCAAAGATTCACAATAACAGTTCTAGCGGGTATATTGAAGGGAAATAAATAAAATCTAGTAACAAGGTAAAATATTTCCTACAGTTCATCCTTGTTTTCTTGAAACATATCTCCATAACCAGTTGCTCTGCTCTGTTCAAGATGCTCGGGGATTGATGCGAATTCTTCATACGACATTTTCCCGTCCTAAATGATCATAAAAGCAAGCATAAGTTTAGTTATCAATACAAAAGAGCATTATCTGTCTGTGCTTTTCAGCAGCTATTTACAGCTAATTGCATTAAGGTTGTCCTCCGACAAACCTAAAAGGTAAAAGTCAACCGCGAAAAGTGCGATGGGAGCGACTATAGATTGAATTAATTAACTCCATTTAATAAACACCTATTTTCCCTAATTTAATCGGCATGATTAAAGTTCATGAAGTTTGCCAGTCATTGCATTTGAATTAGACTTATTAATGTATGTAAGTCATACCTCAACGTTTTTTCACAAATAACTTGCAGATAGTTGTGAAATACAGGGTGTATGAAATAAAGAAAACGTCCTTTTCAATTCAAATTAGACATAACCGCTTGCAGTTAATTTTGACAGCCACAATAACTTCGAATTACTATGTGCAAAAACATAAAGGTCTTCCTGATACAATTATACAAGTTATCCTAAATTCCCATGTGTAGAAGACCTTGTGTTTTTACGCACCGTTAATTCGTGGCAATTGGGGCTGTCGGATCACTACAATACTCAACAGGTTGTGGCTAATTTGGAAGGGTTTACATTTTCATCATACACCCTGTACAGTAGAACGCAGGCAAAAAGCAGCGAATTTACTCATGCGTTCACGTTTCCCATCCTTCTAAGTTTATTTACGTACCTGGAGAGGGTTTTCCGATATTTGCAAATAAAACTAACCTCCTCGATATCGATTGCCACTATATCAATCAGGAAAATAGCTCTACATCGCAAATATAGACATAGTAGACTGTACGCACGAGTATACTGCTGTTCATAAGAGGTACAGTATTTTACTTGTTTTTAAGAGACGATTATGCATAGCGGCAACGCTGCAGGGATGAAACTTTAAATTCTTGTTCTGCCATTTGTTATCCAGATTGAATCATTGTGAGGGAATTTCCATAATAACAATTTCCTGGTCAACAGGGAATCGCCTAAATAATTTTATCGTATTCCTATACCACATTAATATTACTTACTTACCACTGCTTACTTACGCGTTTCCGTATGATGAATAAGTGAGATGGATATTTAATTCATGACACCCATCGTACTTTTCGCGCTTGGCTTTTACCTTTTAGCTTTGTAGGCGGACAACCTTAATTAATGCGATTAGTTGCACATATAATACATTCTTAAACTCTTTTGACCGGGGTCAAACGACAATTAGAGTGCATGAGCCGTAACGGTTACGCGACCTTGGTCAGCTTTTCCAACACTATTATATATAAAAATGTGGAAAAAATTTTATTACAGTTAGCACCACAAAAAAGGTTTACAAAGTGTAAGATTCAAGCATGCTGTGTATAAAATTGTTAGTTCAACATAAAATTTGAATGTCTTATCTTTATATCAACAATTTCTGGAAGGCTTTTCGGTTTCTATCCTCTGTTTCGTATTTTTCTATTCCAACAAGCCTCTGTTACACAGTGGAACACAATATTCAAAAAATATCACTGCATGGGTTATTTATATATCACCGTTTATATATTACCATCAACCATGGTGACCTAATAAAACGGTCGACAACGAGAGTTGGCAGTCGATCACGAGTTGCTACGGGGGACATCGCAAGCCCCGATTTGATAAATTAACAAAATAAAGGTTTGATGAGTGTTCCAACTACTGTATGTTTTCATTTTTCGACCTTATTTTAACTTAAATAGAATATATAATAGTGTCGAAACTTTCCGAAAGAAACTCTAAAATTTCAAATTATAGGCCTATGTTTATACATTCCCATTTCTTCACAGATCCTTTCCTTTTCTAATCCATGCAGCTACGTACTCCCCAACCAATACCTCAAGTACATTGGTCGTATCTGATGTACAGAAATACAGTTCTAGAAATATTACGCGCTTGGTGAAGTGGAAAGAATATATATATATATATATATATATATATATATATATATATATATATATATATATATATATATATATATATATATATATATATATATATATATACATATAGTATGGTGATCCCTGGATTACGAAGACCTGCTAGTTGTAATTGGCATGTCAAGTGACGATGGTTCGAATGTCACGAAATGAGTTCACTATAATCTGACACGGAAACGTTCTGTTTCGCCTTAGCTTCGTGATGACAGACAACAGATTTAAAAACTCGTTGATAATCCACGAAAGTATTTTAGTGAACAAGTCGCCTTTTACGAAATGAGAAAATGCCTCTGCTGTATGTTTAATCTTTCCTTACCTTATCTTTATCTCCATGACTCATAATATGTTCCACTTCGTGTTTCGACGTTGAATGATCTGGAGGAAACATCCAGTCTCTTACTTCATCCTAAAATATTAAGATAATAACCGACCTGTTTAGAAGTGTTTGTTTCCCATAGCCAGAAATCACGGGCATGATTGTTTTTCTTCCTTACTTATTTGCATATCATCGATATACACAGGCTATTAGTAAAACCAGGAACACCGGAACAACGGAACACCGGAACACGGAATACCGGAACACGGAACACCGGAACACTAAAAATTCTTAATTTGTTAAAAATTCGAAAAACAATTACCGGGGGTGGGGGTGTGAAATTATTGCTGGAAAAATTATTGCGAAAAACATGCTTTTTAATAATATTCTGACTTGCCGATAAATTACGAACTGAAATCAGTCTCAAATTAATAAATATTTGCCAGAAAAGAAGAAATCAAATTGTTATTTGTTAACAATAAATGGCTATCTTTCAGTTGTTGTTGAAAACATGACCTTTGCTTTGCTTTGCCTTTGGCCGGCTTTCGTTCAATATTAACAGACAATATTGTAACAACAGTTGATTGGCTTCCTTGTTTTTACAAACTTACTAGCATGAAGTTGAAAAGGATAATTTTCATCTCTCGGACAGGACTCTCGTTCAAAGTTTGCCTTTACTTTAGGCCCGGTTTAGACGGCGAACTTTTCATGCGCCAAATCTAATGCAAGGATTAAGTGCGACGCTGGAGCGGCGTCTAAATCAATTAAGTTCGGCAGATTTTGATTAAGTTCGACACGACTCGAAGATGCGACAAGACAAGTCGTATATGTGACACAGGTTCGACATTGATTTAGACGTCGTGCTTTTCATGCGCCGAACCTAATGCATACTTAATTTTTTAACATTACAATATGATTATCACATATTTGCTTGTAAATATGTCCAATATAGTGTCCTCGCAATTTGGTACGGCACAATTAAGTTCGACGTCTAAATCAGTTTCCAATATTTTGCCGTATCTACGGCAATTAGATTCGGCGCATGAAAAGTTCGCCGTCGAAACCGGGCCTCAGCATCACTTACAATTCTTTAATATACGTATAATAGCAACTTGATCTTTCTCACACAACACATAGTCCACATAAGCAGCGATGGAAGGGAAACTTTTAGCGTGATAATAACCTTTCACCGTTTCGGTCAATCAAAACGGACAAAAATACAAACAAATGTAGGCCTTGTAAGTCATAGCTGTATTACTATAAATAATATTTCAACGCACGTGTGTCTATTTGTCTATTTCTGTATGTTTATTCGACACTCACTTACGTTAGGGAACGTTTTACATTTGGAGATTTAGTACAAATAAATATCCTAGCTATGACTCTAGTCCCTATCCGCGTTTTCGCTTGCCCTGAGATTCATAGTAGGCGGCCCTCCCCCATCATATGTTATGCCATACTAGCCGGCCTACAATATATTTATAAAAGGTCACACGCGACGCGGTACCGATATATATCACGAAAGATTATTGCATATACTAAATTATGCCCTTTTAATATAGGATGCGCCATTTTTATATGTATAAACAATAAGTTCATTTTACAACTTGTATTTGAATTTGATATTTTGAACGAATATTAATATCTCGGTCCTCATCACAGAATGCTAAAATTAATGATCTTCATTATTTTTAAATTTTGTTTACCATTTTTATATACTCAATGCCAATTAAAAATTGCACATCTACCTTTCAAATGCAAGTTGTAAATTCAACTTATTGTATTTATGCCCCGTCGTGTGTGACCTTTTTTTATATTCTGTTATTTTGTTCTGATTTTGGAGCCGCTGTGCTCGCACTGATTATTTATCAGGCGTAATATTATATAGCGTGAAAGGCCATGCACGCTATCAAAATACTAAATTTAAATATAATACTCAAACTGAAGTGGAGTTATTGTGCTCGCATTGATTATATTGTGTGCAAAACTTCAAAACTACAGTAAATTTTGTAAATAACATGAAATATATTAAATTAAAATAACGAACAAAATTCTCATTAATACTATTGAAATTACAACGAAATAGCATTCTACGTCGATAATTTCAATCGTAGTTTAACAATTATTCTGTAGTAAGGGACCGGTTATTATTTACACCCAGGTTTGGGGCCGAAGAGAAAATGGTTGGGTAACTGAGAATTCTAAGACATAATGGGTTGGGTAAAAAAATTTTTACAGCTCTTAAAAATTGGGTAAAAAAAAATTGGCAGCATTTATTTATTTATTTAATATAAAAGTAGACTAATTTTTATAGACCCTATAAAAACAATAAAAAACAGTTTAATCATCTAAAATGTCAATTGGCATATCATCACTTGACATGTCACTTTCGAGGTATACTTTACATCTGGCTGCCACAATCTGGCTCATTTTTCTCTTTTTCTCATAGTCGTCGACAGAGGCAGCATCCAACCTTTTCCTTAACTGATTGTTTATGTGTTCAATATCATTATTTAGCAATTTCCTTTAGCATTTCACCTGTCTGGGCTGTCATAGCTTCAACAAAAGCAACTTCATTGCTTGCTCACTTCTTGGGCTCTAGGTTGTCCCCATACAGTTCTTTCTTGCGATTTAATAATAGTTTACCTTTGTCCTTATTAATTTTGTTGATAGTGGTCTTAATGTGGTCTAATGCTCTTTGGCTGTTGCACACATCCTCTAGCTGAAATAAATCTTGGTGGTAGTTGCATTCACATATACTGACGTAGTTCTTTACTGGAAAGATATATATGAAAATGATTCACAACCCAGAAGCTAAAATTCCAAGTAACACATTGGATTTTGGATACATACTAGCCATTTTAGACGTGGGAACGCACTTTATACGCACAGAAGACAACAATAGTCATACTTTTTTGAACCTTCTTCTGAGCTACAGGATTTTGAACACTATTTTCAATTCCTTCTGTTGCTGGATTGTCAGGATTGCGAGAATATGTAGCCAGAGCCTTCTTAAACTTCAGCAGATGACCGGGTTTTGCCGATAAAACATCAGGTATTCAGGTCAAACATCTGCCTCTGTTCCCCCGATTCTAGTGATTTAATAAGCTCAATATCGTTGAAACCAGTATCCTTAAATCTTTCCAAATACCCCTCAGCCAGATTAATAACAGACTTCACTATAATTACACCAACACAGGAAAAAATCACGACTTCAGAAAGCTTTCAAATTCGTTTTATTCAGCCATGTTGTTTTTGTGGATTCATGTTCGGAATCCGGTCGGATAAACTTCGGGTGTTGTCGATATTATGACCATGTTGATCTTTCAAGAATTGGACAAGTAGTAAAGTACATTAATAAACACAACTTGACTACTTGAGCAAGAAAGGGAAGAAAAAGGATAAATAGAGTGCAATCACAGCAGATGTATTACGGAAGAGTCATGCCAGCATTGCCAGGTCTACTGAACACGCTTTGGAGCAGCTACACATAGACCAGAGGAGCAATGTACAGTGATGGAGAAAGCGAGCATCTTGTTTTGGAAGAGTTTGGGTTTAGGAGTTTGAGACTAGAGATGAATCTGAAGGTGAACAGGAACAAACTCATGATCCAGTTCATGACAATATGCTGGAAATCGGGCTTTGTCGGATTTACAATGACCAATACAGTAAACAAATTATGGGTTTGTCAATATGCAGTATTGTCGTAAGTTTATAATAAACACATTTAATAAACAATATTTTTTCCTAGGGTTGGGTAAAAAAAAATTTAACCAAGAGATGGTTGGGTATTTAAATTTTCTGGGCTTAAGTTGGTTGGGTAAAAATAAAATTTTGAATAAAAATAGTTTCTCTTTGGCCCCAACCCCGGGTGTAAATAATGACCGGTCCCTAATTCACCGTTTCCATGTTTTTTTTATACTTTCAGTAAGGCTACAATAAAGCTAAATTTGTAGGAAATAACATTATTTAGTATTAAAATAGTAAAGGAAATCTAACAGTCAATCGCTTTCGATAAAACCTTGACCTTGTTTATATTACCGTCGCCTGCAACTAACGATGAACAGTTGCCATTAAAAACATTGCCTTTTCGCGTGATAATCTAAAGTTTTCTTATTTTGACATAATAGCCAATTTTCAATAAATATATTGATATTAAACTTATTGAATCAATATATTAAGTTTCAGGGCAGTTCTACCAAACGTTATAAGCGCTAGCGCATCATAACCAGGGGGCGACCTCTGGGGGGGCGACTGCTTCTGTTTACGATACTTGCTGAGTGACGAATCATCAATCACGACGAATAGTGCTTACGCAAAAAAAACAATGGAAATTGACTTCTGTATAGTATTCTGTGTCATAACGTTTCATGGTTTTGATTAGCCTGAAAACAGACCTACGTTTCGCCCACCCTAAAATTTGCGGGTCGACGGATCCGTAGACTTGCTCCAAGTCTCTCTTTCATTGTCATATCGATCCACTATGGTGTACATTACATGACGTAGCACTGAGAGGCGGAGCGAGAAAGAGAGACTTGTCAACTTCGGAAAATCTCGGTTCAAAACTGAACCGAAAATGCAAGACTTGCTTTAATTGTTTTCTGTCCGTATTTATATGTATTGATCTAGCACAGTGTAAATAACATGAGTTCCATTATAGTAAATAATACAGAAAGAAATTGAAGGAAAACAATTAAAGCAAGTCTTGCATTTTCTGTTCCAGGGATTATTCTAAGGATAATTTACAACTGCCACTTTGTTGAAGTATTAAGCCTTGAGGAGGAGATCTACTGTGTCGACCTGTATTATCCCTGAGAATAACTAGCACGGCTAATTAAGTATTTTGAATTTGGTGTGGTCTTCATCTCACTTATTCTCTAGTTACACTCTATGTGACTCTGTCACAGCAACTGTTAGTCACTTAGTCACTTTTCGGTGTCGTGACGTAAGACCACGCATACGATACACCTGTTGGACACAAGCTCTTATTGGGTCAATGGTGGGGAAATTAATTACGTCTTGAAAGAAGGACATTTGTAATAGTTATTATATAGGCTTTAGTGCACAATAATTCCATATTTCCTATAAACTGATGACATACTTCATAAACTATAAACATCTTAGGAAATAAATACGACCTTTGAATGAGTTTAGCTCAATCTCAGGTCAAATACTTTTCCATTTAGCAGTCACAATTAATATTATTTTACTTCTGGGTCTTTATAAAAATAAATAAAATGTTCCCCCCTGCTGACAGAGCACTAAAGTGACAAAGTCTATCAACGTATCAAACTGATAAGTGATAACGACAAATAAAATCACTTCAGACGTCTCATTTCAGTCCGAATAGACTCAACACCTTTGGCTTTCACTTTCCAGAAAGTTGATAAAGCAATATTATTATCAATATTATATCAGTCACAACTCCAGTGTTTTCCATTTACAACTCCAGATCTTTTTCCCAACTCCAGAAAGACCTAGCAAATCCAGCTTAGAATAACCCCTGTTCTGTTCAGTTTTCAACCGAGATTTTCCGAAGTTGACAAGTCTCTCCTTCTCACTCCGCCCCTCCGTAGTACGTCATGTAATGTACACTATAGTGGATTGATACTATATGACAATGAAAGAGAGACTTGGAGCAAGTCTAACAGCTCCGTCAATCTGCGAATTTTAGGGCGGGCGGAACGTAGGTCTGTTTTCACGCTAGCTTTTGATGGCATGCAACATGTACGCACTGCGTACCTATTTTTATATATTATGTTTGCTATATCATTCTAGCCGGCCCACAATGAATCTCATGGAGGGCAAGCCAAAACTCGGATATAGCCATACAACACTACTGGTACTAAATTTCCAAGTGCACAAAATTACCTACTGAATTGAGGGTCAGCTAATAAATTTTAAACATAGTGAAATAGACAAATACAGTAGACACACATGCGTTGAAATATTATTTAAGCTAAGACTTACAAGGCCTACATTTGTTTGTATTTTTGTCCGTTTTGATTGACCGAAACGGCGAAAGGTTATTATCACGCTAAAAGTTTCCCTTCCATCGCTGCTTAATTATGTGTTGTGTGCTTAATTATGTGTAGTCCCAAATCGAATCCCACCGTGGCCGGGCATATTTTTCAAGCTCGCCCGGTGTGGATATAGACTCAGAGTAACACCACAAATATCATATTCACCTGAGTACACTACACCAACACAGAAAAAAAAAAAAGATCAAGTTGCTATTACGTATATTAAAGAATTGTAAGTGATGCTAAAGTAAAGGCAAACTTTGAACGAGAGATGAAAATTATCCTTTTCAACTTCATAAGTAAGTTTATAAAAACAAGGAAGCCAATCAACTGTTGTTACAATATTGTCTGTTAATATTGACCGAAAGCCGGCCAAAGGCAAAGGTCATGTTTTCAACAACAACTGTATTTGAACAACAACTGTATTTTATTGTTAACAAATAACAATTCTAGGTTTAATTTCTTCTTTTCTGACAAATATTTATTAATTTAAGGCTGATTTCAGTTCGTAATTTATCGGCAAGTCAGAATATTATTAAAAAGCATGTTTTACGCAATAAGTTTTCCAGCAATAATTTCACCACCCCCCCCGGAAATTTTTTTTCCAATTTTTAACAAATTAAGAATTTTTAGTGTTCCGGTGTTCCGTGTTCCGGAATGATGCTGTTCCGGTTTTCCGTGTTCCGGTGTTCCGTTGTTCCGGTGTTCCTGGTTTTACTAATAGCCATATACACAACATCACGTTAAAATATGACTTCTGCAGTAAACAGTAAATTATACTACGCGACGCTGTAAATCGCAAAATCCGAGAATACGGTAGCTATAGGTCGTTTGTACTTTGCCTCAATTACTGGTTGCAGCAATATTCTTTGAACTCTTTAACTGGTGTAAGTTACTGCCTATTCCGCATATTCGTTTGTTCCAAGTAGCAGTAGTTCGGTATTCTTACATAGGCGATAGAGTTATAATAAATAGACAAATCACATGCAAGTGTTGTAAAAACTAAGTTAACTAACCTGTACTTTACAGTATATATTCTCAGATTTCGCGATTGACAAGGACGCGTTATATAATTCACTGTTTACTGTTGAAGAACTTGAAGCCATAATTATTTCAACGTGATGTGCAAATTATGAAGGAAATTCGAAATGTAATAAATAAAGCTCGTGGTTTATTGCCATGATCAGAATAATGCTGCTGTTTCCTCAATAAAGTGTATCTATTTATTTCGTTTTCTACAGTAATCTAAAAGAGACACAAGAAAACAAGCACAGTGTGAACGTACCTCAACTAATAAACCGTCCACGTTTTTGTCATACTCTTTGAACTCTTTAACTTTGGCAACAAACTCATCACCTGACTTCATTTCAAGTATTCCTTCACCTAAATATTGTACCAACGTATTTCAAGAAAAGTTCATAATTTCATATCATTATTTAAAATTATAGTAAGTTTCTGGGAGAATCGAGATTCCTCTTTATGCAAGAAACAATATTAAAACATGCACTGGCAGAACAACCAATCTCATGCGCATAGTGCCGATAAATGCGTGGCACAATATTCGCTCCTGGATGAAGATGTTCAGTCGATCGGCACTGCAAAAGCAGGCGATTTTAAAATTACCTTATTGTGTTTTCCTTATTGGAGAAATAATATTTTCTCATTATCACGACATTTTTGAAACTGTTTCAATGGTTTCCTGACTTTCAGTGTAAAATTCATTTTTCTGTTTGTCGAAATGTAACTAAACAGGTTTACTCCCATAAGGTCATGATGAGGTGTGGGTTGCACGAAGGCCGGATGTCGCTGTCCACGCGAGACAGATTTTCCCAAACGTTGTAACTCATATAGAACAACGGATATAAATCTCAAAAATTAAATTTAAAGCTTCAATGTATTTAAATGCTTAAGTTAATACCAATCAATAGATAATTTTAGAAACCTTGTAAAAATCCACATCCGGCCTTGGTACAATACAACCGGAACAAACATTGTACTTAACTATTGATATTTACTGTAGCTGCGCACCCAATAGCCACAAACGTGAGAAATAATAACATGCATTACCTATATAATCTTTAATGTTTAGAGCTCCATCTCCATCAAGATCCATATTTTCAATTGTTTCCTACAACGTGATATAGATTTGTTTCAATTATCAAGATAACCAGATATGCCTGCAGTGGACACACTGTGAATTTGAAACAATTGAATCAACTCCAAAAGTGTTATTCTGTCATCGGTTTTGATGACATGAATAACACTAAAAATAAAATGGAGTTAATTTAACTCCTTGAAATTTACAATGCACTGCATGCAAGTCTTTTGAGATATCGCTTTCCTCATGCGACATATACTAGGGGTATGTCGAATGAGGAAAGCGATATTCCCCAAGCCAACGGCGCGGAGCGCCGTTCCGGGCGTAAGCCCAGGGCGAGGGTACTAATTCCCCCGGCTATTTACACCCGGGGAAACGAAAGCATTAGCCAAGTCTAAAGTTCATCAATGAGCGTGGGCGTGGGTTACCGTTAGTGGTTCGGTAGGTGGTCATCCTCACTGATCTCAAAAATATGGCTGATTGCTTGTAGGAGTGGGATGACCAAGATTTCAATTTTAAAAGACATATATTTGGAAAATCGTTTCATACACAACAAGCTTGAAGCAATTTTGTTTGACGAAATGAGAAGAATTGATTTACTATGGGAAATCGTGAAATATACGGCGAGTTTGCTTTGAATATTTAATGTTTAGTATGTTTACGAATTCTGTTGCTTTAAACTTTTTGCCTAAAAACATGAACTGTTTTCCTTTTCAATGAAGCTCTAAGTTTCATAAATTACCGTTTAATTTGAGAAAAAATCTTAAAATGTAAAGGAGAACAAATTGATTTGAAGACTGAACTGAAATTACCTAACAATTTGTTTTATTTGTAACTTATTATGTTTTATTATTAGTTTATCGGCAAATGAACTATAGGAGTATAGCTGAATGAACATTTCAAAACATTTTACGAAGCGTTTCAAGTTAAATTTTACATTAAATCAAAGCTCACAAAATACAAAACAATATACATACAGTATATATTTCGGAAATTTATTGTTGTATAGTTAAAAGTACGAATCTTTCAACTATTTTGCAGTTTTATACAAAAAGTATAAGAAAATTAAAAATTTAAGAATATCATGTTGTCATGGCAACACTTGAGCGCGAGCCTGCGTTCAGTGGGCCATTTCTGAATACTTCATGTTAATTTAATGTTCGGAAAATATTGGCGAGGGGTTACTGCATGCATGTATTTCTAGTTAAACCTTTAAATGGCAATGCGCTCTTGTACGCTCCACTTCATTAATCTATTCTGTCTAACGCTAGACGAATTTAGTCGAAAAGAAGACAGTGCTACCAGTCAATGGATTAAATACTGTAGTGTTAGGAAACAAGCAGGAAAGGCAATCCTATAGTTGTTAAAATTAGACTTACTTCAACACTATACAGAACAATCTGCAGAGGAACATGAGAAGATTGAAAATTCGAAAGTGGTTGTTAGGCTAACTGTGAAACTTAAATGGAGCAGAATTTGAACTCAAAATGTGGACATTGTCACTACCTACGCGGCTACGCTGGCACAGAGCGTGCGAATACGTAAATAAAACAATCTATAATCTCAATATTCGTTAAAGTTTTGTGTTATAAATCGCGCATGTGCATGTTAGTCATTCTGGTTAAGATGAGTGTATTCTGCCATTTAATAAAGATAAAGTACAATTATAGAAAAATTAAATGTCCGTTTAATACAGGGCCGTTTAATAGAGAGTTTATTAGTAATTGTATCGTAAAATGTTATAGTAATTGTATCGGAAATATTTTGGGACTTTATTAATAGATGGCCGTTTAATAGAGGTTTGGACGCTTAATAGGGGTCCCACTGTAATGTTAGCCTGCGTAGCAGTCGCTTTATTTTTTTAAATTTTATTTCAGGATATTTCTCCGCTCTTTTTTTCGCATTAAAAAATCCTCAAATAAAAATATCCTGAAATAAAATTTAAAAAAATAAAGCGACTGCTACGCAGGCTACTGTAATGTAAGCTTAGGCCACCTCCTTGTTCTACGGCACCTGCATGCATACACGATTGAAGGAACAAAATTAAGACAAAACTTACAAGTACTATGCATTTTCTCATATGCTTTCCTTCTTCAGGATTAAGAAAGTAAAGAAACTCGTGCATAGTCAGGTGACCATCTTTATTTAAATCTGCGTATTCAAATCTTCTTTTTCCATGTTGATATCTTGTTGTATTTCTGAAATTCTTTGGCATGCCTGGGGTTCCTGGAGATATTAAATAGGATAATTTAGTAATGGTATGGGGCAGGACCATATGGGACAGCGGTTGACTTGTACGACCCGATCGTCGAAGCTATAACTTACACATTACGAGTACATAATTATGTAGATCAGTGAACTAGGGGGTGTGATGCATTTTCAATCCTCATGTAGGGACTAAGTACAAGTCAGGGATAGCGGGACATTCTACTGGGAAATTGCTAAATAGTTAAATTACTTCAAAATAAGGTTTCCGTTTATATAATTATCATTTTTTTAAATAACTTAGGGTTAGGTTAGGGTTAGGGTTAGGTTAGGGTTGGGATCAGGGTTAAGGTTAGTGTTAGGGTTTACTTTTGCGTTAGGATGTTTTTTTCTATGTTATAAAAACGGAAACCTTATTTTGAAGTATACTATCTAGCAATTACCCATTCTACTGCTTATAAACGTTCATAGATCAATCAGTAACTATTTATTCAAAACAATATTTTAATTACGAGGCTGGCTCATTATAAACAGTAGCTCGTTTAAGAATTATTCGCCGAAATGGCGGTAATATCTTTGCACTATTCACCGACACTAAGGAGAATAATTGTTTCTGCATATAGCATAATAAAACAAACATGGTCAAAAAGAAAGAAAATATTTTTTAAACAATCTGTAAGATGTATTATTTGCTCCAGACCTGTAATACTGTAGTTGCAAACTAAACAGTATTTACAAGCTTTTAGTAAATTCAGTAGAAATTGTTTTAAAATGACTGACCTTAACTACAGTTCATTCATGCATTCAAATTCATTGATTTAATATTTACTGTTGAACAAAACTTTGTCGCTTTCTTTGTGTTGCGGAATCGATTACCGAAAGCGCTGGTACAGTGCGTCCAGCAGATAGCTAAGGTTTGAATACCGGGATATTCAGACATGGACTATTCAGTAAGCATCAAAGCCTAGTTAGTGTAAACTTGTATCTCTAAAAGAAGTTAACATCGCCACAAACATTAATCGAAGCAAGCTTTCATCAAAGAAATATCCTAGCGTAAAGCGATATTAACAAAGTGGGCTATTCATGGCCGTAGCTAGCATGTATAGTTGGGGGGGGGGGGTGTTTCCGAATATTTCATGGCGTACGAACCCACGAAAGTGTTTGCTATCCGGAAAATGAAGATGCAACTTACAAACAAAAATACACATATTATACGCACAGACATATTACAGAAGCATGCAGTGCCGTAGGAAGCTCTTTGAAATGCCATTTCCTGGACTTTGGGGGAAGTTTTTACAGAATTCTGATGGTCAGAAAACAGAGTTTTAGTATAATATTTGTGATGTTACTCTGAGTATGCATTCGCACCGGGTGAAAAGTTTGTTTGGTCACGGTGGGAGTCGAACCCGCGACCTTTGGGATAGCCTGCATGGCAGGCGGTACGTAGGAAATACCGCCTGCCGCAAAACTGGGTGTAAATGAACTACCGCCCCTGAAGCATCAACGCTATTTATAGATGCATTAATTAAGTAAATATTCAAAATTAGCCACTCCCAAGCTGCTCCCAAGTCCCAACTGCCCAACATAAAATAAATTCCTTGATTCTCATCACCGCCCGACTGAATTTTAAAATCCTCGTGAAACTGACGTTTTATATTTCGTTATACAATATAAATGTACCGCCCGACAAAATAATTCAAGACAGTTAATTTTTTCATATTTTATATAGAGTTTTTATTGCCATTTTAAACTTCCAATTTGAAACAAACAGAATTTTGAGTGAAATTTCATTGTATTTTAAAGAAACTCAGTCATTCTGTCATTGTTCGTGGAGATACGAACTATTGATATATAAATTATATAAATATAAAATATAAAAAATAAATCTCCCACTGTCTTCGACATTTCAAAGTGTAGACTGTGTCTAGTGATGAGAATCAAGGAATTTATTTTATGTGTTAATATAAACCAAGCCCGTTTAGCTGCCTTAAAACGGTGGTTTAATAAGCTCAATGCAAGTCTATACTATAGATTCATCATCAGTCAACAACCAAACTGAAAGTATTGAACCTTATAGAACGATAGTTTTTATTTGTTTACAACTATACATATTCAACGGGTATATAAGAGTTTAACTGTTATTTGATAATTACTGCATCAACCGGCCCCTTGTTTATACTTTGGAGGTTCGTATATAATATCTATCAAGTATCTTTGGTTCAGAACATGATAGGCCTATATGGAAATCCCACTGTTCGATTCAGTGAAGAAATATCTCCTAATTTCTATCGATAGTTTTAGTAAAATGTCAACATTATTGCGATTTATGGCCTTTGAAAGTCAAGCGAGATCGTATATTATCAAATTAAGACGCATGTAATTGTCTGAACGAAAATATATAGACTAGCCCATACCTTTCGCCGATCATATAACTTCGGCCCCTTCGGACGTATCTTCTTTGTTAAATATTCTTGTTCGAATCTCTATCAATAACACTATTTAGAGTGTTATTTTTCAGCTTGTATCTTTTAATTTGCTTCTTTTATTGTGTTATTCCATTTCTGGTCTGACTTGACGTGAACTAATTTCAAAACGCAGAGTTTCAAAACGTCAAAACATTTGGTTAATGATTAACATTTAACCGAATTTAGCCGTTGATTGACAACTACATAAAAATACTAACCAATCCGTTTTTCCCGTTCACCAGCGGACGGGTAATTCAAAAACCCCTAGTTTTGCGGCAGACGGTATTTCCTTTGCTTCCCTAATTTTCGCTGCCCGTAGAAATACCGCCTGCCATGCAGGCTACCTTTGGGATACTAGTCCAATGCTCTGCCAACTGAGCTACGTGGTCAAGTCGGTTCGATTTCTTGATATTTTGGAATTGAATCTAGTTCCTTCGATATCAGTGTAATCTATGATATGATTTTTGTGTGTGTGTCGGTGTTACATACTCAGGTGAATATGTTTGTGATGTTACTCTGAGTGTGCATCCACACCGGGCAAGCTGAAAATTTGCTTGGCCACGGCGGAAATGAGGGAATCGAACCCGCGACCTTTGGGATACTAGTCCAATGCTCTGCAATATGCAACTGAGCTACGTGGTCAAGTCGGTTCGAGTTGTTAATAGAGTTTTAGTATGTCGAAATCTGTTACAATTTGCTTACAATTTAGTACTACTAAATGAGCGAAGGCGTATTGATTAACTTTACACTGGAGAAGTTGCAGGAAAGAGTAAGGGTAATATGATTCATTGCGGGTTGTCATGGATAATGTAGCCGCTTAAAATTAATCAATTGTCAGTATTTTAAAAGTATATTATTTAAATGATAAAGGTGTGCATGATTTTGAAAAAAGAGTGATTATCACAGAGGAGGTTGGACAGCAGGCCGCAAAGCATCATGGGTATTGAGCGCCTAATTCCACGCGTGACTTCATTGACTGTTGACTGTCGAGGAGTGAACATCTCTCTGACTAAAGGAACATGGAAGCTTTCGAACGACAAGAGTGTCAAGCTGTGATATTTTGTGAAAAGAAACCGCATGTTATTGCTGTATTGTTGCGATCATCATTATGACTTGTGTTTTGCTATATCAAGTTTACCTTTTTTAAATTGCATGGGACGTGCTGTCATTTTAGCTTTATAAATAATCCGTCTGAGAAAAGGAATTGTGTTTAATTTTATATTCCCAATATCGAGGTTCTTCTTTCTAAGTGGGATGGCGTTAAATCTCCGTGTATCATCAACGTGAAAACAAGCGCAGTATTTTAATAAGGTTGGTATACTACAATGCATTACAGTTATCGACTTATCGTGAATATTTTATAGTCAAATTTCCGCTTTGTTGTTTTTATTCTTGTACTGTAATTTTATAAATACACTGTACAAAATTATGGCGTCATACTTGTGTTTATAATGCCTCTACTCTAGTTTGACCCTATTGTGTGTGTATATGGACTGTATCACTGTGAAAGATATGTACATGTTTTGAGTTAAACGAATTGTTTAATAAATTTTTGCTGAAGTATGATGCCTGTTTGTATTGGATAGATTTTTACATATATGTGCATACAGTATTATTAGTTACATTGGTTCTGAGATGAGTCTGAAGGTATATTGTCATTCAGTTATTTGTATGTGTTGTTTTATAAATTTTTGCTGAGTATGATGCCTGTTTGTATCTAGTTGTGGATGGTTGTGAGAATATAATTTTAGAGGTTACATGTTTGCTAATTTTAGAGATGATAATGTATCAAATAATAATTTTCTTGTTATGATTTTGTAGAAAGAGATTACTTGAGTGGTTGGCTGGTCTTGAGCCTGTTCAGGATGGATATGATAATGAAAGAGGTGATAGGGCAGCAAGTGATAACGTTTAAGTGAGAAGATGAAAGTGATGAGGAAGAAATCACCCACGCTGTACCGTTCAAGTGCATCAGTGCTGCTCGTGAGAAAAACTACCAACAATGGCAACATCATTTGGAAAATTAAATTAAGGCATAATACCTCACTCTTCATGAACAAGATAAAATAGTGAATGTAAGAATATGGCCAGCACCATTGAATCCAAGGGACCCACATGCAATAGGCAATTCCAGCTTTTAGTTTATTTTATTAAAATTTTTCAGCATAATCAGTTATATGATACCTTACTTCCTGCTGCCCCCTGCACACATAACTTAAAAGCTGGAATTACCTATCGACTAGACTATGTAACTGGATGGACAACATTTTCGTTATATTGCTTTTGAACTATGCAAGTATTTGCACCCACTAATTGCTGCAGATGTCGTGGATGTCTGGTGGAAACATTTCTAGTGGAGTGCAAGCAACACCACTGAGTGAGCTTTTTACAGGGGTTAGGAATTAGGGTTAAAGACTTTTGAAGAAAAATTTTGGTGGGGTTGCACTTTATAAAAGGGGTTAGAGAGATTCTAAGGGGGGGGGGTAACCCCTCCTAATGCCCCGAAACCTGGTAAGTGGAGCCTCAAGTGGTAGGAAAAAGCATGAGTGTATGTTGACAGATGTTTTTTTATATAATAAATAGCAACTAGCTATGTTTAGCAAGTTATTAGTGCATTCATTTCAATTGGCTAACTTTTTTGTTTTTTCCAGCATTTTTAAACAAACCATATGTTATAAATGATAACTGGGTATATCTAATTAAAACAATCTGTCATATACACTCATGCAAATAAGAAGACTAAGTACATAAATAACTGTAAAAATGTACTTTAGTAAATGAATGATTTATCCATACACTTGACCTACTTTGTGAGTATTTTTTCCGATTAAAATTGATGCAACAATACAACAAGATGTCTATTTATATATTTATTAAATTAATCTGAGATCCCAACAATAACATGCCACTTAGGGAGTGGTCATTATTTATGGGGGGAGGGGGGGGGGGCAAACAAAGTTTTACCCTTATAAATAGGGGGTCAAAAAAGTTTTAATGCAGAGAAAGGGGGGGTCAAAAAAGTTTTTGAACTTAAATATCATGCCTAGAGTTCTGATTTCTATAATGATCACAAATAGCAAAAAAGAAGACTCTGAAAATGCCATTTACAATGATCTAGAGACTCAAAATTGCTTAGTGCCAACCATGGTAGTGCCTCGTGGGAGTGGGACCCACTAAGTTTAACAAGCTTCCTACCCCCTGAGTGTCCCAGTTGTGGTATTTACATAAACATACCATGCAAGTGCACTTAACTGATCAGATTCGGTCTATCAAAGCACAATGTAACACCGTATATCCAAAAATCTGTTTCAGAAAATGCTCACATTTCAGTCCTAGGGAAAAATACACTGAAAAAACTTTCCCCAGACCCCCCTACTAATACATACAATACCTCACCAAACTTTTTGTCACCAACAACCATCTGTCATCTCTCCACACTCAGTATAGTATGGTCCATTTTTGTAGATACCCACCCCCAGACAAGTTCTTAAAAAAAGCCCTGTGTTCAAATCATTTCGCTGTATGAAGACGGGCCATGGGTTATGGAAAGACAAATGTTGCATTGCAGTAGTAACACATAATATATATTTTTTAATCATATATGGTTGAATCATATTCACCAGGGTAAAACATCATGAGCTAGATTTAAACAGATTGTCCTAATATCCAACTTTACCTGCAATGCACACCTGTTTCATTGCTGTTCATTTTTCAATCCACACTGGCGGGGAGGGGGTCAGAAAAGTTTCTACTTTTATGAGGAGGCACAAAAAGTTTGCCTTCAGTCTGGAGGGGGGTCAAAAAAGTTTTTAATCCTTATTTTCCCCATTTACCAACCCCCCCCCCCCTCCCCATTAAATAATGACCACTCCCTTAATTTGTTTATATATGAATAATATGATAGATATGATAATACAATAAAAACTTGTTTTATTGTTTTAAAACAAGTGGAGCTCTCTGCTGGTTTGAAATGGGCTGTTATGACACTGATTTGTCCATGCTGAGGATCCGCAGCTCGATTTTCCACAAAAACCCCAGGATCAGGCGATCAGCTCGTCTTGAAATACGTACACGATCCAGTCGCGTCGGCCAAAGACAACAAAACTTTGAAAATCGCTGAGATATAAATTCTACAAAAATATTAAAACAACTCCTAAGTCTTCTAAATAATATTTTAGCACTTTAACAAAAATTCATTGAAAATATCATCTTTGATGGCGCAAATTCTTTCCACGGTATTAGACGCCATTTTAGCGAACATCGAGTTGACAGTAGTCACTTCAACGGTCAATATCTCGAAAACTGCCGGGGGATCACCGGGATCATTCCAGCAGATTTAAAGCTTATACTTTTGTCTTGACGACTACCAAAAATGAAGAAAATCGAACCATGGGAATTCTAGATATTTCATTTTAAACATTGTAAACATATTTAGACTTGAGTCGACACGTCGCGGGGAGTCGTCTAACTTCAAACATCAAAATAACATTGAAAATAAAGTTTACCTCAGAGATTTTTACAGATATCACCAGATCTTTAGTAGTAGTACTACAACACTTGAGATTTTGCAAGAAAATTTTAATATTAATATTTTTTCCCGATTTATTTTCCGTCGAATGCAAATTTTTATGTCCAAATTCTGCAGATAACACGATGGAAAATAGAGCGATCTCATTGGTCGAGAGCTCACGTGACAACTCGCTAATTAGCTGTCCAACCTCCTCTGTCAATTGTCAGTATTTTAAAAGTATATTATTTAAATGATAAAGGTGTGCATGATTTTGAAAAAAGAGTGATTATCAGGAAATTAGCACATTATTGGGCTGCTGCCTTAGCCCCGTTGTTACGGCCCTGAGAAGTAATAAACCGAAAAAACATTTACCGATTTACGATTTGTTAAATATTATCCATGTAAATGCTGTGATTTCGTAAATCAGTTTATAACTTATACTGATCACAATACTGGTGACTTTCTGCGTCCAAATCTATGTAGAACAACTCTTTTCAGGAACTCGTACTTCAATAGAATTGTGTATCTATGGAACAGCTTGCCTAGTGATATTAAATCTTCTTCTTCCGTATACGTCCTTAAAGCTAAACTATATGAATATTACTTTAATAAACTGATTACAGTATTTGATGCAGATAGGTGTAGAACTTGGAAAACACTATGCAGTAATTGTAGATCACTGTTATGTGAGCGCATGTGTTAGTCATTCTGGTTAAGATGAGTGTATTCTGCCATTTAATAAAGATAAAGTACAATTATAGAAAAATTAAATCTCCGTTTAATACAGGGCCGTTTAATAGAGAGTTTATTAGTAATTGTATCGTAAAATGTTATAGTAATTGTATCGGAAATATTTTGGGACTTTATTAATAGATGGCCGTTTAATAGAGGTTTGGACGCTTAATAGGGGTCCCACTGTAATGTAAACTTAGGCCACCTCCTTGTTCTACGGCACCTGCATGCATACACGATTGAAGGAACAAAATTAAGACAAAACTTACAAGCACTATGCATTTTCTCATATGTTTTCCTTCTTCAGGATTAAGAAAGTAAAGAAACTCGTGCAAAGTCAGGTCCTGCCCCATACCATTTTATAATATTTTCTCTGTCTAAACAACTGAAATTTTGTTATGCTATTATTGCCGTAATTTTCCGAATGGCCAACCCGATTTTCCGAATATGTTAATTTTACAAAAGTTGGGGGGCGGAGGGGGGGGAGGAGGTTAACCGCCCCCCCCAATACCCCCTCGCTACGGCCCTGTCAGGGCTATACATCTTCCTAATTTCCCGTTTCTAGAAATCCACGCACCTCTGTATTATTATTGTATAGCCTATGTTCAAATTATTTTGGGCGATGATATTCGTGCATGTTTGTTCGATGTCGAAGAGATATTTGTATTTCAGAACCGTTAAAACATTCATTAGATCCTCCTACCTGCGGGAAAATGTGATTCCTCGTACTCTTTGAACGACATCTTACTGTCGTTGTTAAGATCAACATCAGCAATGTAAGCTATAGCGTTCTTTAGAAGATATTTCATATGATTTTCTTGGACCCATTTCTTCAACTCCTCTTGAGTTAGTGCGCCATCGCTGTTGAAATCAACTTTCTTTGCGATTTTTCTGGAAATGAATACAGTGTTGTACCTTTTAACAATCTGTGTTTCTTTTTATAGCATTTTCTTTTACTCATGTTCCTACAAAACTAATCTGTCATGACGATATATTTGATATGGCCATAGACTAAGAATTCACACCGATTGTGGTGTTGGGCAAGTACCCAACAGCATAATCGGTACGTGGTCCATGGGAATCGGTGGCGGGGCTCGATGACGGTTCTCGATGGCGGAGTCGTCACGTTAGAGCGAGCGCCTTCAACCTCTAAGATCGTGAGTTCGTTTCTCTCTACAGATTAGTGTGAAAAGACAAGGAGAATTTCTCATTGTATATTTCAGGTAGTTGCATCCCTATCAACCGAAATTTTGTTACTATATTTGCACTACTTACAGCGGCCCAGACTGTTCATGTCAACGCTCTGCCAAAAGTCGTGGCGGTTTTCTCGGGTTGTTCTGGTTTCCTTCCGCGGAGGAAGGTTAGGATGAACACTGTTAATATATCATAATAGTCTATAGGCTAGCTAAGTATGTAATATATTTGGGTAACCGTAGACGTGTAGTACTTGGCGTAAAGCGCATTATTTTGATCATAATTACCTACATATAAACTTGCGCTATAGAAATGTTGACAAACATGTGTGGCAAACTTAATACAGTTGTGTAATTATTGATGATCATGCAAATGAATGGCGGAAATGTTGTATCCAATAGTATATTACTAACTGTAGCATCACAAACATTAATATTGTGACAGCTGATTTATTGAATGCACACAGGACACACATGCATGTGATTTTTTGTGTATAAAACTCTCTCATGAGGAATAATTAATCATATTTAGCGCCTATAAGCAAAATTCATAACTTCAGAATCGTATTTTAGATTTTGGGAAATAAATGTTGTAAAATATCTGGATTTTAATAAAATGTTGAAATGTGTCTGCATTCATTTAACAGGTGTCTGCGAGAGGCGCTCGTGCGTTCTAACGATGTGCCTGCCTCTCACTCAAGCTCTGGCATGAGTTGTACAAAGGTCGTATGGACCTGTCTACTGGGTGAAATTTACGATTAACCTAGATTATAAAAGTGTGTTTACTTACAAATTAAAGTTAGGGACCGGTCATTAATTACAGGGGAGGAGGGGCGGTGGAAAGAGGGGGGTCAGGTAGAGGTGCACCGGAACCCCGATTTTTTAGAGTTCCGGTTCCGGCCGGAACTAGTAAAAAAAGCATGGCCGGAACCGAAACTCTGTTGTTTTCAGAGAGATAGAATATCAAACGTTTTTGTGTCTAACAAAAGGTCACAGTAGGAAGAAATTTGGACTACGCAAGGGAAATGTACACTATTAACACTTTATTATGACGTTTAACCCTTGTCAATCTTTTTATTCTAACATTTGCGAGCTCTCTCCTTTATGACTTGAAGTGTCTGCCTATCTGGCAGCGGACAAAGTAACATGACTATATATGGCTTAATAAATTAGTTCCGGTTCCGGCCGGAACTTTTTCCAGTTCCGGTCGGATCCGGTTCCGGCCGGAACTTAAAAAACTGGTTCCGGTGCACCCTTAGGGTCAGGTATTTTTGTGCATGAAAAAGGGGGGGGGGGCAAAAATTGTTGTGCAATATAATGATGACCCTGTTGTACCATAAAACCAACAGATAAAAATAGAGAGCAGTAGAACTGTAGTAAACTCCAACACAACACCATTTATTAAACGGATTTCAAAATAAACATGTACGTTGGAATAGCCTTTGACTCAATAAATGGTAAAGACTATATAAATTACGATACATGTATATAGGGCATAGTTTCCAACTCTCACGGATCCACCATGAGCATCACGGATTTTACGAAAACCTCACGGTGAGCTGACAGCTTGTCAATATCAGTAATAACCCAACTGGTTCTTAAATATGTTGGCAATGTTGCACATTTTAACTATTAAGAGTGACTTCATTTGCGTCAAATTACATAAAACGTTTTTCTTCTGAAAAAATTCACGCCATTAAGCCAAAAATGGATAATCAAAACATCACTTCATGCAACCTCGTATACTCACCAAAATTTGTGTGTATAAGGTATAGAAGACTCTGAAAATGCCATTTCTAACGATCTAGAGACTCCATATTTTCACATTTTTCTGCTCGGCGCCAACTATGGTGGAGCCTCGTGGGCCCCCTAAAGCAAAATCTCACGGATGTTTTATTCCCAATGTTGGCAACTATGATAGGGCAGTATATGATTAAATGTGGCTTCACTTAATAAGAACTTTAAACGAATGTGCCTTTTGTTATTTGGATGGGGGGGGTCAAGTATAATTGTGTTATCCTCAAGGGGGGGCAACAAAATTTTAGCATCTAATTTTTCATTTCCACCAGCCTCCCCCCCCCTGTAATTAATGACCGGTCCCTTATTAGGTTTTACTTATTGTTGGGTCTATTATTTTGGTGTAGGTTTATCCATCGGAAAAATCACTATCTGTTGGATGGCGCTATCCTTTTTTTGTTATCAGCAATGTGTCCCCTTAAAAGAGCTTGAAATGTACAGTACTACAGAAATATGAAAATTGTGTGATTGTAGAAGTATCATAACCATAGTTTATAAAGACCACAGCAATTTTATTCCATAGACCCTGTACTCTGATATTGAATCTATGTTGTGAACTCTTACTCATACTGTAGGTCATTGCAGGCTAAAGCCTATATCTAGCTGTCAAAGGAAATTATGACGGTCTGGAAGCCCGGCAAACATCAAAGCTACAAAATAGAACAGTCACTTTGTTTGATGTTGAGCTGTCGTGGTTGCACGTTTCACCTCAGCTATCCATATTGGATGATTATTTTGGATTACTTACACTGTAATTATACGAGAATACAAGGACAAATGAACATAAATTTACTTAACTCATACAAAAGAATTCAAACAAATAAAAGATTTTCGTTTAGTTTCCACACCATCTTATTGTATCTTAATGATTATGACCATCATGGCAAAATTCATTACTGTATAACCTCGACATATACTTAGGGCCTGTTCATATGGGCAAAAGTTATCCCGGTTAAGGCCTAATTCCACGACAAGCGAAAAATTCGCCAAAACACAAGCATTTGATTGGTTTCGCTATTTTGTCATCCAAAACACAAGCATTTGATTGGCTTTGCTATTTCCATTTCGCAACGGAGTAGAAACGAATTCAACTACCCGGCGTAGAGAGATATGTCGCAGAGAAACATTCCAAAATCATGTTGCGCATGCGTTCAACCTTTTCGCGCGAAATTTTTCGCATTTCGCTCGTCCTGGAATTATAGGCCTTTAAGGCGGTTTTCCACGAGGCGAAATTTTTCGACCGAATCGAAATTTCTCTTTGTTTCATGAGCTCTCGAGCAGAACTAATTGTAAAAAGACAAAGAGAAATTTCGTTTCGGTCGAAAAATTCCGCCTCGTGGAATTAGGCCTTAAAGGCCGGATTCCACGAGGCGGAATTTTTCGACCGAAACGAAATTTCTCTTTGTCTTTTTACAATTAGTTCTGCTCGAGAGCTCTGAAACAAAGAGAAATTTCGATTCGGTCGAAAAATTTCGCCTAGTGGAAAACCGCCTTAAAGGCCTGATTCCACGAGGCGGAATTTTTCGACCGAAACGAAATTTCTCTTTGTCTTTTTACAATTAGTTCTGCTCGAGAGCTCTGAAACAAAGAGAAATTTCGATTCGGTCGAAAAATTTCGCCTAGTGGAAAACCGCCTTTAACGAGAAAACTTTTCGACTAGCCAAATACTCTTGTTCTGTTCATATGGAGAAAAGTTATCCCGCTTACCAGGTAATGTTTTAGTTTTCGGCTGTGACGTAGCACTGAACATCAATTGAATTGAAAAGTTGCTGACACGATGGGAACAACTGAGATCTCGGTACATGCATGGGAAAAGTTTTTGTGTCATATTGACATATATGAACGCAGTGTAACTTTTCATATTATTTTCATAGCAAGGCGAGATTTCGCTTGTAAACTTGTCGAAAAGTTTTCTCGCTAACCGGGATAACTTTTGCTCATATGAACAGCCCCTATATACGGTTAGATCACATAGCTGGATTTATCCACCTCCAATCTCCATGCATGCAGCGAGAATAAATTAAATTTCATATTATGCAATACGCCATTTGCGAAGAGCTAACGATAACGAAGAAATATCGAGGTCGAATCTAGTAGCCCAAAATTAATGATTTGTACCATAAAGCCACTGTTAATAGTACAACTGCTCAATGAGTCAATGTAGTACTCACTACTCAACTGCAGGGCTAACGAAAGAAAGTACTGCAATACTAAATTAAGGCAGCGTTTACACTGTACCGTTTTCGTAGCGTTCTTGTATTGTTCTTAATCCTCAAGGGAACGCAAGACAATAGTCTAGTTCTCTCGAACAATACGAGAACGCTACGAAAACGGTACAGTGTAAACGCTGCCTAAATATCCTATTGTTTAGAGGTTACGGGTTTACATGAAGATCATTCATGCGAGGCAGCAGCAATATCCTTGGCTTTATGTTTAGTGAAACATGGTTGCCTGTTTTAACGACAAGTGCGTCCTTTTCCTGATGGAATCGTGAACGTCGGCTTAAAAGGAATTCGGCCAGCCAAGCACAATTTGCTCCTACGTCCAGCCATTAATTAGAGTTGCAAAGAATCAAGTTGAATAAAGTCCGCTCCTGTATATAGTGATTGTGTATTACTTCCTGTTTAGAGTAGACTTGAGACTTCAGATACATATACACATGCACATTATATCATATGTGGTGGCTCATTTTTTCTCACATGGTATATATAGATTTGCAAATTAAAAGGAAAGATCACCGTGTACCTTGTTGCCTTGTTTATTACATAAATCGCAAGTGCAGAAGAAGTATATTTTGTTTTATATTTCTAAAACTAATTGTGGACTGTAAAACATTGCGGCGTATCAAAGTAATCAAACCTTATTCGACTTTCTCTATGGCAGATCTACAAGCAGCAAAAGATTTGGAGTAGGGCAAGTGTCGAGCAATCACATTTCGCACTAGACCTCGAGCCAAATTTATGCAAATAGTCTATTATGATTGTATGTGGGTTTCCTGTTGAGAGATATACTATATGCATATTATATTACTAAATACCAAGTGATTTGGTAGACATTCGTGAGCATTAAAACATACTTTTAAATACAAATATTAAACTCAAAATATTAACTTGTAAGTTGTAATTAAGGGAAATATTTTAAATTTAGTCATACCAACAGTGTAATACTCATATATAAAATATATAAACATATTCGAAGTTAAAATAGACGTTATATTGTAGAGATCAATTTATTGCTGCTATTATATTGCTATACTGTTTATACTTACAATAATCGTTTGACTTTCTCTTCTCTCGTGAGTTCATCGTAACCAGCCCCTTCTTCTTCTTCGCCTAACAATACATTCTTTTCATATTCCCTATGTTCGTCTGTTTCATGTTCATGGTCGTGTGATATACCACCAGGTTTGAGTCCTCCATGACCTTGATGGCTGTAAATTGGCTGTAGATATACAAATATAACAAGCGCCAAGCTTATACACGTTGATTGCATTTGTACTCGCTTTAAAATGAAACAAAATTGAGATATTACTAATATTGAAAGTCTAGCATTCAAGAGCTGCTCTCGATGTCCTTTATAAACCAAGTATCAATCTAGAATAATATGTATAAAATTGGGAAACAAACACTATTGAATGTCCAGTCCACCCAACGTAATAGGAAGTGAATGACTCAGGTATAGTATTTCATCAAATGAATAAACACTGGCTGCTCGATCCACTAAATTAAAAAATCACTGACGATGATTCACCTGCTTCTATAGTTGTCGCTTTATGTGATTTGAATGTTGAAATGCTGGCTATTTTGCATCACAATATTTATATTATTATTCAAATATGAAGCACGACTGTGTGTGTGTTTAAGTTGCAGACGGAACTGTGTGTATTTGAACATCTGTGTTGGTTTGTCGGCGTGGAAATAAACTAAAGGCGGTCCATGTTTAAATTGCAAACGTCCATGAAGTTCCTATCTTGCTCCGTGATAAATTAACGAGAAAGAAATAAAACAAAACCGGAGACTATCGTCATACACTTCAACAGTCTGAATTGATGTCATTCATATGCGACATGAATTTAGGCAATAGCCAGTCCTGCAATCTGTATTGAACTGCCATCTACCTATAAAATCCCGCTATTCAGAACAACTTTAATTAATTTAATGCATTATTATAAAATGAACTATAGTTCTATCGATAGTTCTACAGGGTGTTCCGAAAACCCCCACAAAACCATTGAAATAACGTATTGTTAAAATTTGAATGCCCTAGCACTATATAAGCTGAACGCAAAGATGCGTAAAATATTGACAAGGGTGCATAATTATATTAAATATTGACATATTAAGAAATTAAAATATCTATTAAGAAATTAAAATATCACGATTTTCTGCTCTTGGGAATTTAAAACAACTTCTTTCTTTATGCATAACATTTACTTACGTCGAGCTTTGATGCACGTGTAACGTGTGGGTTCAGCAGAGTGCTGAGGCTTTCAAATTCTAACAATACGTTATTTCAATAGTTTTCGGGGTTTTTTTTGGACACCCTGTATAGCATCTATAGATAGGTGTATGATGCCTATACGAAGCCCAAAGTTATGCATGGTCCATACATTTCAGAATTGCGGGTAAAATTTCAATACTGTTACATTTATTGCTGCCGCAGCGAGCGAGCATTTTAAGGCCCTTTCTCGATATATGAGCAACCGAAATAGCCCAATAATAAAATAAGCATAGGGATGGCAAAGCCGGACAAAAATATACACTAGCCCATTGCTCGTATTTTAGCTATCTACAGGGTGTATAAAAAAAGGAGACCTTTAGAAATCAAGCATATTGTTAAAATTTGAATGCCGTTTCAATTGCACGTATGCTGAACCGTGGTGCGTATATTAGAAAAAGGAGACTTTAGAATTGAAGCATTGTTATAATTTGAATCCTGGGGCACTTTGCTAAAGCTGGTTTTCCACTTCAATCGTATCGTAGCGAAGCGTAGCGTATTTCTTTGTTTCCTGACCACTAGAGTGGAACTAATGACTTCGACACAAACGAAAATGCTACGGCACGTTACGATATACGGTTGAAGTGGAAAACCGGCTTAAGCCCACGAGTGCATAACATGCGATCTACGTACAGTATTCATGGCAGATTGTTCCCAGGAGCAGACAATGTTTTGTTTAAACGTTATTTCAATTTCTAAAGGTCTCCTTTTTCTAATATATGCACTACGGTTCAGCAAAGGTCTCCTTTTTTTTTATACACCCTGTACAAGGGCGGATTCAGACCGTTGCAAACCAATCATAGCGCTGTATTTGGAAATTTTTGCAGTGGTCAGATTGAAACTGACCGTTGCAAAAATGCGCAAATACGACGTGCTGATTGGTTTGCTACGGTCAGACGAAGCAATTAGCCAATCGGAATGAGGCAAAATGCTACTCGGTTTGCAATAGTCGCATCGACTTTAGACTTGCCACAAGTCGACCTCGAACAAAACGCGCTCGCTGCTCGCGTTTCGTTCGAGTTCGACTTGTGGCAAGTCTACATAGACTTCAGAGCGATGCTGGCTAGTTATTGTCGTGTCGGCTCCTCGTTGTAATCGAATAGTCGGTAAATGTTAATCGCCGCTCGTTGCAAGGAGAAAGATATGGCTTCTGAAGGACTACAGATCCACTCCACGACCTTTTGTGTATAATGAACGAATGTAGCGTGTTTCATTTAACGAAATGGCGCGCGAAAGAATTCTGATCGAAAGCTTTCGGTGTTCGATTATTGGAATAATTTGCATTTCCCGCGATGTGAACTGTGAAGAACGGCGCTGTTTGAATCACCTCCGTGTCAGGTCAGTCTCATGAATAGTATATTAAATATTATGTAAATAACATATTGAATTGTTTACACAGTTCATTCGTCTCGAATATATTACCATATATTTGATGATGAAACGTATTATTATTGAAAAATACAGAACAATATCAATGGCCACTCACACCAAGGGAGCACAGCAGAACGATATTTGGCTATTTATATAAATAATTTTACGTATATTTGTCTAATATTCGTACCTGTTTTAAATAAACTGCCATTTTTAGAATATCATATTCCCTTCATATTACTATTATACGAAGTAGCGCATTGGCCGGAGGCGTGCATAAGCGCTGGGGCGGCGGCGTGAATAAGCGCTGGCGCGCCAACCCCCCCCCCCCCTAAGGAAGAGCGTGGCCTTCGGCCCACTGATCTGAATAATACTGGATCACGCATGTGGTGAAAATGAATGAAGCCACCGGAAGTGACGATTTGGAGTAGCAAGATGGCGGCCAACAAAGGCCAATTGCCTAGAGCGCGGGAGTTTCAAAACTACGAAAGAATCTTTAAAACAATAAGTTATATAAGATATGAGATTTTAATTGACGTAACTCCTTGTAAGAAGAATTCTCCGACAGAAAGTGAAATGAATGCCACAGATAGAGCATTAAATTTCGGGGATGGACAGCTCATATTTTTTCTTCGCAGACGTATATGAAATTTGTTTATAAACACAAGTCAAGAGACAGTTTTTCACTACAGTGTAAAGCAAGAGACAATTAACTTGGACGAAGTATTTTACAAAACATCTGTACGATACTCTTACCTCAAGAATATTGTTAAATAATGTTACTTGTTTGAAATTTGAACAAATATATTTTTATCCACTTTTGCTTGAATGTCCAGCACTTTTAATGTCCTGTGTAAAGTGCCCTGTTGTAATTTTTCTTCACGATTGGTAATATTCAATTATTTTTATAACCGTCTATCTCGTTTATTGTCTACCTTTTTCTTTAAATTCGACTTTATAGTCGAATCAATATTCTAACTTTTGCAAGCCAACTTGGGTTTCGTATTTATAGTGTAGCAAGATGTATTGCGTGTACTGTATTTCTCAAAGCTACAAAGGTTTGCAAAGATTTCAACAAGTGTTTTTTGATGAGAAAAGTCGGAAAATGCCAACTTGTGTGGTGCTTGGGTGCAAAAATATCCAGTTCCGAAACTGCGGAAAATCCTTTCACAGGTTTGTAAAATATAAAACTCATTTAATTCGCATGTGAAGGGGAAAAAATTGCCTCTTACGAGAACGATAATTTTTTTAAGGCAAATTATAAAAAAATTATTGCAACCCTGCATCCTGCGTTTAAAGCTGCACTTTTTCTTTGGTTAATTATAAAACCAACCACATAATTATAATAATAATACACACACAATATATAAATACTTTGTGTTTTTTGTTTATGTATTGTCATGCAATTTGCAACAATGTTTACGTTTTGTATATTATTAAAAGTACAAATCATCGCCATTTTAGATACTTGTGTTGTGCATTGTACAATGAAAACAAAATAAAACACATTTTAGCAGCTAAGTACAGAATGTTCTGAGCATTTTTTCTCAATTTGTTTTTTAATTATTATCTTCGCATTCATTTAAATACGAAAACAAATAAAAAAAACCCAATTGTTTGGGGAGGGATATACATATACACACTATTTTATGGCCATGTTTCACTAGTGAATTTTCGTTTAAACTTGTTTAAAGAACATGAATATTGTAACATTCATAAGAAGGGGCTGCAGTTTATATCATTAATTTGACTCCATAGCAAAATTGCATAAAAGCTGTATAATAGTTCATTTTTTGTAGGTTTCCATTCAGTCGGCCACAGCAATTACAGTTGTGGATTTCTAGCCTGTGCAGAGCAAACTGGTATCCCACAAAAACATCTGTAATTTGCTCAGATCATTTTGAAGATTCCTGTTTCGACAGAACTGGTCAAACCATAAGATTAAGAGATAATGCCATTCCAACCACTGTAAGTTTCTATATAAAATACAGTAAGAGGAAGATGAGTTCAAGTAAAACTTATAACATGTCAGTTATCTACATGGGCGTACCGGAAGGAAAAAATTAGGGGGGCAGAAAAAAAATTGCCCAACTTTTTCGGATTGTGCCCGCGTTGTCAAAAAAATTTTCCGTAGAAGCTTTCCAAAATTGTTGTAGACGGGGGGGGGG